GATGAGGATGAGGATGAGGATGAGGATGATGATGATGATGATTATGATGATGATGATGATGATGATGATGATGATGATGATGATGATGATGATGATGATGATGATGATGATGATGATGGAAATGATGAAGATGATTAAGATGATGAAGATGAGGATGAAGGTGAAGAAGAATAAGAAGAAGAGAACGAGGACGAGGATTGTGGCGCTGACGATGTTTATGAGGCGGAGGGGGAAGAAGAGGAAGGAGAAGAGGGGGCGAGCAATCACATGTGACACTTTCCCTCTGCAGTTCTCGAGGAGGCCTCATGGACTTCATTCCAGTTTGAGGCCCTCGTGGGTCCGTCCTGGGCTGTCCAGGGGCCTTCTCAGGCTGCCTTGAAGCCGTCTTGGAGGCCTCTTGGACGACGTTGAGGCCCTCTTGGGCCGTCGTGGGGCCATCGTGGAGGCTTCGAGGACCGGTTTGAGCCGACGGAAGCCCGAAAAGGCGAGAATGCACACACCATTCGAAAACTACAGAAAATGAATGATGTTGGCCTAGTCGGGCCTTGTTGGAGGTTCTCGTAGAGCCCTCTTGGCCGTCTTGGAGGTCTCTCTGACTGTCTCGAGGCCATCTTGAGACCATCTGAGGCCGTCCTGGAGGCATCTTGGACAATCTTGGCGGCCCTGGTGGCCTGCTCGGGCCGTCTTGGAAGCCATCACGGGCAACTGAGACGCCTCGGAGAGCGCCAGGGTGGCGTCTAGCAGCACAGAGAGCCTCGGGAGGGGGGTCGATGCATGCAAATGGATGCTAGTAAACGGGGGGAGGCCCCTTAGACGATTACAGAGACCTTAACAGACGGCACTTGGCTTTCTACCACGCCTCAACGTGCCAGTGGACACGGTGGCGGATCCTGGAGGTCGTAGAGTCCGATTTCGCGAAGAACCTTGCCGACGAGGAGGCAACGGAGGCGGATGCGTTGTCCTCGTACGATGCCAGGACGCAGGAGATCAAGGTGTCCATGGCCACGAAGAGCCAGGATGTGAAATACAAAGTGCAAGAGTTCAAGGGCTTGGACAAGGACGTCAACGAGCTGTCCGCTGACCGCACGTCCACCAACGAGGAGCTGTCGTCGGTGCTGGAGTACTTTGCCCAGGTCAACCAGCGCTGCATCGCCAAGCCGGAGACGTACGAGGAGCGCAAGGCCCGCCGCGAGGCCGAGATACAAGGATTGAAGGAAGCCCTTGCGATCCTGAGCGACGAGACCGCTGCGTCGCTCCTGCAGGCGCGCAAGCACCGCTCCCTGCGCCAGGGGGCCCTGACCGCGTGAGGTGGCCTGCCGTGCCCGTGCGGCGGCCGAGCGGCTGCGCAGCCAGTGCCGGGGCGCTCCGGGAAGGGCCCCGCCTCCGAGGGATCGAGAAGCTGACACCTCTGCCCCAGCGGAAGGTGGCGGAAGGGCGGCGGAAGCCAGCGGAGGAAGTACAGTCAGGGATGGAGGTGCTTCACTTTCGAACCAGGGCTCTCGTCGCTCTGGCGCCGCGCACACCCGTCTCACAAGCTCGCAGCAGCTTCACGCACGGAGGGCTGGTGCTTCTCAAAATGGAGCGTTTGCTTGAATCTTCCGTGAAAGTGTAGGGCATTGGGTTGGAGCAGGGTATGCAGCAGCTGCGCGAGTGGAGGCCGGTTCTTTTTCAAAGGGGGGTTCTCGCTTGAGACCTCTCTCGAACATCACGACTACACAGTGGAAACCCATGCCAAGAAACACCCTGCTTGCCTCCAGGGTGCCCTGGGTTTCTTGTGTTTCGATGGTTTTGCGATGGAAAGCGTGACGGTGACGTTCCCACACCAAGAATCGATGGACCTCCTGGGGTCTCACAGTTGGGTTTCTTGTGGAAGGTGTCTTGTGGTCGAGCTCCTGTTGTATGCGGCAGGGTTCACCGGCGGAAGCCAGTAGAAGTACAAGATCCAGGACGTCAGGAGTCGGCCAATTCGAGCCAGCCGCTTCCGCCTCACCTTCTTCCGCCTCCCTCATCCTCCTCCGCCACCCTCCGCCTGCTCCTTGGACACCAGCCAATAATAGAATAGATTGCCACATGCCCACTTCACATCCTGCTCACCATCGTCATAGTCATCGTCCTTCGGCGACACTCCCCTCTCACCTCACCCCTCTGTTCTCGTTCTCACCTTGCGCCTCAACCACCTCCGCCTCAACCACATTCAAACTGAGAGGGACAAAGTTCGTCAGTGGTGCTCGTATCTCATCTGATCCTCCTACCGCACTCCTGTTGGATCAAGATGTCTCGCTCACACGATTTAGATGCCCCATCCCACACCCCGGTTGCGCACCACATAGCCTACACCACATAGCTCACACCACATACGGGTACGCGAATAAGCTCCACAGAGGTTGCCCGACATAGCCTACACCACATATATTGCATCGCGCATTATGTCACCACTCATGTTGCGTACCACATGGATTGTGCCACATAGCTTACACCACAGAGACAACACAACGTAGATTGCACCACTCAGCCTACGCCATACCACATAGATTGCACCACACTTGCTTAACATAGATCCTCCTTTCTAAAAACAGAATAGGATCTACCCCCCCCCCGGGGGAGGTAGATCCTTCCGGGTTCACCTTGCGGGTGTGGTCATAATCATATATGATTATGACCACATGTCCACCCTAAATATGAATTTACACTATCCCGGGGGGGCCGGTATCCCCCCCCCTGAGGTTCTTTTGTAAAAAAATCACTATGCGGTGGCATGTTTTGTTCTAACATAACACTTGATCACGAATCCCTTGCCAAAAAAATTACGAAGTGCACACGCGCGTCGTCGCGCGCGCATGCCGAAATCCTTCAAAAACCTTCGGTGCTGGAAGGATGTCGCAATCGAGTTTCCAAAAAACGTACAACAACACAGGGTTTTGCAACATTGAATTGCTAAGAAAGCTTCCGCGCGAGCTCCTGCGAAATCTTAAGAAAACCATGGATTTTCCAAGATTTTCACAACATGCTATAAAACGGGCTTCGCGCGCGCAGGTCGAAATCTGTCGAACGCCCTTGCGCGTGTGCCGTCGCGAGAACCCTCTGCAACAAATATGACGAAGAGCAGACGCGCGCGTCGTCGCGCGCGTATGCCGAAATCCTTCAAAACCCATAGGTTTCGGAAGGATTTCATAATCGTGTGCCCAAAGAACCTATTATCCCAGTGCGACCCTACCTAGGAGTTGGAGCATTTAGGAAAGCAACATCTACATCTACACCGACAGCTACGTTTACATCTACACCTGCATCTACATGTACATGAACATCAACAGCGAGCTCACATCTACATCTACATATACACCTACATCTACATCTACCTCTACACCTACATCCACACCTACACCTACATCTACATCTACATCTACATCTACATCTACATCTACAATGTCGCATGGGTGTTGCTGTTGGTTTGCATTGCTGTTGCTCTTGCCGCTGCTGTTGCCTTTGCTTTTGCTGTTGCTTTTGCTTTTGCTGGTGCTTTGCTATGCTATGATATGATATGTTATGCTATGCTGCGCTATGATGTGCTGTGCTATGCTATGCTATGCTGCGCTGTGCTATGCTATGCTATGATATGGTGCGCTAGGTTATGTTATGTTATGCTGAGCTATGCTATGCTATGCTATGATTGGCTATGCTATGCCATGATATGCTGTTATAATGCTGCGCTGCGCTAAGCTAAGCTAAACGAAGGTAAGCTAAGCTATGCTAAGCTAAGGTAAGCTAAGCTATGCTAAGCTAAGCTAAGCAAGGCTAGGCTAAGCTAAGCTAAGCCAAGCCAAGCTAAGCCAAGCTAAGCTAAGTTAAGATGAGATAAGCTAAGCTAAGCTAAGCTAGGCTGGGGTACGCTCAGCTATGCTAAGCTAAGCTTAGCTGAGCTAAGCTAAGGTAAGCCAAGCTAAGCTAAGCTAAGCTAAGCTAGGGGAACCCAGGGTGCGCAACTGGGGGAACCGCGGGGCGGATCCTAGGGGAACTGCCCAGGGCGGGGAACATTGCCCGGGCCCTTTAAGCTAATAAAGTAAGAACCCTTCTAGGCAGAGCCTAGGTAGGGAACAAAAACCCAAGGTTTCGCAACACGGATGTTCAACAAAAGCGTGCGCGCGCGTTCTTGCGTCGTCGTCGTCGTCGTCGTCGCCGTCCTCCCTCCTCCCGCGTCGTCGTCGTCGTCGCCTACGTCGTCCTCTGTCTTTCCTCGTGTTCGTCGTCGTCGTCCTCGTTGGCGTCGTGGTCGTTTCCGTCGTCGTTGTCGCCGTGGTCGTCCTTCCTCCTCCTCCTCCCTCGTCGTCGTCGTCTTCCGTCGTCGGCGTCTCGTCGTCGTCCCTCCTATTTCGTCGCCGTCGTCGTCGTCGTCGTCGTTGTCGTCGTCATCGTCTTCCTTCCTCCCTCGTCGTTGTCGTCGTCGGCGTCGCCATCATTCCTCCTTCTTCGTCGTTCGCGTCGTCGCCGTCCTCCCTCCTCACTCGTCGATGTCGTTGTTGTCGTCGTTGTCGCCGTCGTCGTCCTCCTTCCTCCCTCGTCGTCGTCTTCGTTGGCGACGTCGTCGTCGTCGTTGTCTTCGTCGTCGTCGTCGTCGGCGTCGTCGCTTCGTCGTCGCCGACGTCGGCGTCGTCGTCGTCGTCGCCGCCGTCGTCGTCGTCGTCGTCGTGGTCGGCGTCGTTGACGTCGTCGTCGTCGGTGTCGTCGTTGTCGTCGGCGTCGTCATCGTCGTTGTGGGTTTTGCAAGCCAAGTTGCGGGTGGGTGGGTGGGATGTTTGCAAGAGCGCGGGATGTGTCAATTCGTTTGTTAACATCAATTGCACCACATAGCTTGCCCCACCTAATTTCAATGCACCAGTTCCTTATCGTCAATGGTGTTCTTATCTTATCGTGTTATCCTACCGCACTCGCTTTGGATCAAGCTCTCACGTTCACACTATTTGGGTGCCCCCCCGCCCCTCGCTCGCGGACGCGCGCAAGCAGCAATGAAGTGTTCCGTCTTGGTCTCCATCCTCGCGCTCGCGGGCGTGCGTGGCGCGACCGCTGGCGAGTCAAATCCCCTGGGCAAGGTCATCGAGCTCATGGACTCCCTGGCGGCGAAGCTGGTCGCAGACGGGGATGCCGAGGACAAGGCATTCCACAGGTATGTGGAATGGTGCGACGAGACGACTTCGAATCAGAAGTACGACATCGACACCGCAACCACCAAGAGCAGCGAGCTCGGGGCCACCATCGCGAAGGCGACCAGCGACATCGAGGCGGCCGAAGGCAAGATCGGCGACCTGGCGGGCAAGATCGCGAAGGCAGAGGGAGAGCTGAACGACGCCGCGCTGATCCGCAAGAAGGAAGCAGCCGAATTCTGCCACAAGGTGTCCCACGAGCAGGTGACACTGTTCAACCTTCTGAACTGGGTGCACATACAGTTCTCGGTTGTGGTGACGTCCAATGACACGGACGCGAAGAACAACAATTTTGGATTCAGTTTCACGCAGATGCAGGGGCTCAGCATCTGTATGTCATGGGAATATGCCGACAATACGTGGTTATTGTATGGTGGGTTGTATCTAGATGTGTATCATACGAGGGTATGCATAGCAGAGTTCTTTCCTTATGAATGGGCTCGGCGTCACCGAGACCATAACAAAGAGATGCGCGCTTTGCATGGCAACGGACCATCGATGAAGCAAGCACTAGCCAGGGCATTGAAGGCAAAGCACACGCCACAGATGAACAAGAGTCGTGTCCTCACCATGCTGGAAGCAGCAGGTACGGACAAACCGCAGAAGATGTACGATCACTTGAAAAAGTTCTCCACGGAGCGTATGGCTAAGATAGCTGCCATGCCCGCCAAGGAGATTGCTGAAGCGATGAAAGTATGGTTGGAAGAAAAGCCTTACGGTGCTACTCCTCCAGCCAAGCCGCAGCCGCCCAAGAAGCCGAAGGTCTCGCCCCCGAAGCCAAAGACAGGCTGGCAGCATCATGCACGCCTTGACCCTGCTGACTGGGATATTCCCGTGAAGCGCGGCCTTCCGCAAGACTATGAAAGTATGAAAGCTGTACATCTCGTGACAACGGCAGAGTTCCTTGAGCTCGCACGTTTGGACTCATTTTGGCAAAGACCAGATCCTGTGGAGGCATTTGGATTCGTCCTTGCACAATCGCCCAGTCAGGTCTCAAAAGAATTGTTCATGCTGTGTGGCCAGAGGGGTCTGGCTCCCTGCATTACTCTATTAGATGTGCCACTCATTTACGAAGAGAGACGATATATCAAGCAGTTGTACGTATGGCAATATGGAGGATCTACTCAGCAGAAAGTGGAACCGACCAGAGTGCCGACGGCAATAAAATGTACACAGGACGAGCTCATGAACGTGGCGATCCTCGAAGAGCATGCTCCCGAGAAGATCTTCAAAGAGCTCCTGAAGTTACACCGTCAAGCAGCGTCAGCCCGAGACCAGCGGGCAGAGACAACAGGTCAGAAAAGAAAGTTCGACACAATCCCACCGTGGAGAGTGCTGGACGCAGAATTGGCAAGTATTGTGAAGGCTAAATGCAACGGAGGTGCAGACATGGATCTGCGCTGCTGGAGTGGCAGAGTCTTCAATGAAGATCATCCAGGGCATCGTGTGGTATCAGGTTTGTTCAAAGTATCATCTACACGAGCTGTGCAATTACGAGCTGCGTCAGGGCCAGATGGAGTTATCTTCCAGCGATCTCGAGCAGGAGGTATTACCAATGAGGCCCTGGACGAAGAGAAGAATACAGAAGACTTTGTCCCATTCCCCAAGGCCATCTCCCTGACGGACGCGCTCAACATGGTCACGGACCTAGAGGGCGGCCGCGGGTTAGGCTACAAGCAAAATGGTGCGCTGTTCTTCAGAGTCGAAAAGTCTAAGTCAGGCCCTGCCTGGCAGAAGTTGCAATCAAGAACCCCACCAGCACCGACCCTCTACGAAATTTCTCCATTACCGAAGCTCGTCGAGGGAAAGCAGATCGTGCAAGAGATATCCACTCAACTTGGGTGGAAGGCAGAGTTTGTTCATATACGCTCCAGGGGAAGAGGTGCCAAAGCCACGCCAGTCGTACGTTGTCGAGCTGAAGGCCCCCCGTCGGTCTCGGACCTCACCCTGGCAGGAGTCAAAGCAACAATCAACATGGTCAAGCAGAAGAGTGCCACACCAGCCCCATCGGCAACATCCTGGGCTGAGATGATCACGAAGTATGACAAACCTGAGCCCAAGACGGCACCGGCTACTAAGAAGACAAGTTTGGCTGCACAGCTCACACGACCAGCTCCTGCTCCGCAGCAAGGTCAGCCAGCGCAGCAAACTCCACCACCCTCAGACACACCACCATCTACGCCAGGCTCCGCGATGTCCCCTGAATTTCAGAAGTTTCTGCTTGAAGCAATTGGACAGGCGGTGACTGCAAATAATCAGAAGATCTTTGCCCAATTACAGCTTCAGGGGCAGGGTCTCGCAAAGTGCTTCGAAGTTCTTCGCTCAGATGGAGGCTTATCCAGTGCTGAGCAGCAACAGGATGAAGAGATTGAACGTCTGAGCAAAAGGCTCAAAGACAGTGCTGCAACTGATATGGATCAGTGATGATGCCCTCACGCCGCCTGCGAGGGAAACAAGCACCTGCAGCACCTTCCTGTGGTCCTGCAGGCCTTGCCACTATCCTTTCTGCAAATATTACCAGCTGGAATACCTTTTCTGGCCGCCTTGCTCTCATGAATGCAGATGTCCTTGCGCTGCAGGAGACACGCCTCAATTTGAAGGAGCAGATGGCTTGCACTAAAGCCTGTGCTGCATATGGATACAATGTTTGTTTTGGACTTCCTGTTCGCCAACAACGATGTCATGGTGAAAAGTTCCATCGCAGCTCCCAGGGTGGGGTTGCTATTCTGTCAAGAACTACTTTTACTGCAATGGAAAGCGGACGCAAGCATGGTGCAGCCAAGGAGTTGTATCTCAGCACCCGCTGGCAACGGCAACTTGTGATGCTGGGGGCTACTCCTGTTCACATCATTTCTATGTATAATGAGTCGGGCAATGACCCATTGATTCGTACACGCAATGATCGAAACTTTCAGTTTGCCTTCGAGGACGCCGAGGCCCTGGGCGACCAGCCTGTGGTCATGTGCGTGGACTCGAATACGACAATTGCACAGACATCCACGCTATCCGCAGCCCTGGCTACAGGGCGATGGCACGATGTTGGAGCTATGTATGGAGCGGAACCCACTTACGGCCTGGACCCGAAGTGGGATAAGTATTCGACAGGCAATCATGTTACGCGCCCTGATCTTATTTTGGTCAGTACGGCAGCTCGAGATTCCATCCACTCTTTTCGCTTGCGACGGGACCTGGGGATCAAGTGCCACCTAGGTCTGGAGCTCACGCTGAATATCACCAAGCTCTCAGAGGTCTGGCAAAGGTATCGTATGCCTGTGGCCTACCCCGTTGAGCTAGTCAAGAAGATCTCCGAGGAGGACAACGAAGCGTTGGGCAAAGAATGTGTGGATGAGTATTATGACCGGTTCTACGAGGCACTGGACAAAGAAGATGCAAATACAGCGTGGTCTCTCATCGGGCAGATGGGCGAAGCTTTTCTGGAGAAACGTCTTGCGCATACGAACATCAAGTTTGATTTTCGGTACCATGGACGAAGCAAGATGCCAGCGCTTGTTGAGCAATCTGTGGTTGCTCCGACGTCGGCAAAAGACCCTGCCCGAGAAGGTCCCACGACTTCCAAGTTGCGGCAGATCGAGAATGTACTCCACCGTCTCACTGAGCTCTCAAAGAAGATTCACATCTACTTCCAGGGTACAGAGGGACCTTCACTAGAACATCAACTTAGTGCGCAGCGCCTGTGGGGCAAACTGCGTGCAAACATACCGCGTCTTCTTTCAGGACTGGATAATCTACCAGGTAGGCTCCCGACATTGGCCGAGATTGCATCTTGGCAGTCCTTATTAGATGAGAAGCATGCAGTCATTGTGAAAGAGAGAAAGCTTACACGTATAGCTGAATGGCGCAAACGTCTACGTACATCACTTCGCTACGAGGGTGGTCGTGACATGTATTCTTGGATCAAACAACGCCAATATCATTCACTCCATGCGGTACGAGGTTATCAATCCAACGAGATAGTCACCAAGCGCACTGACATCCTGGACCACATCAACCGTTTCTGGAGCACGATATTCAACAAACCTGACCTCTGTGACTGGGATAAGTTCTTTGCACGCTTTGGACGCTATATCCCTTCTTGCCAGTGCACCATCACTGACATCACAGGCTCCAGGCTGCTCAAGCAATTCAGAAAGATGGGAACTACACGTGCTGTGGCGGCCGATGGCTGGAGAGTCGGCGAGCTCCGATTGCTGCCTCTTACCATCTGCGAGTTGATTGCAGTTGCCCTAAAAGGTATTGAGGACCAGTGGCTCCCCTGGCCAGATGTTATGTGCACGGGCATCACGTCCTGTTTACCAAAATGGGACCCAGAGGCAGACCTTGCCTCGACCTGTGAACCAGATGAAGTGTGGCTGGCCACGGTTGATCAAACGCGGCCGATCACCAACCTCTCGCCAATCTACACTGCCTTGACAGGCGACCGCTTCCAGCAGATGTCTCCCTGGAGAGAGGAGTGGCTCCACCAAGGAGCCGCGGGTGCAAGATCTGGGCACCACTACCAATCTATCGCATGGGAGTTGAATATGGAAATAGAACACAGTCAACTCACGGGTACGTCGTTATCGGGTTGTACCGCAGACAGGAAGAAGTTCTTTGATTTACTGGAACATGATATTGGCAATCAACTCATGCAAGCTCTAGGCTGCCCTGCAGGAGTTCTCGCTGCAGAGAAGAGTTTTTACGCTGCTCTATCGACACATTGGAAGGTGGCACAAGCTGTGGGCCCCCCAACTACCAGAAAGAATGGATTTGTTCAAGGAGACTCATGGTCCTTGCAGCAGGCGCTAGCCCTCATGTCGGTCTGGTCCAAGGCTCTGGAAGCCGAGGGCCCCGTCAGAGTCAGCAGTTTCATTGATGATGGGAATTTTCGCGCCGAAGGACCAGGTCATGCTGCAAAGACAACACGTGCCACCAATATATCCTTGGAGTTCGATAGCCTCAGTGGCACAGTCACGAACCTCAGCAAGACTAAGCATTATGCAACAACGCACAAAGCTGAGAATGAGCTGTCTTTCGCCCTGCGGGCGGCTGGACACACACCTGTCATGACCAGACATTTCATATTGGTAGGCGGCGAGATTGTCTCCCTTGGCTCTTGTCCTGCTCGACAACGCCGACTACGTTATGAATCTGCATACCGAGTATCACGCCGTGCTGGAGGAGCCCCTGTGGGACTTCGTGGGAAGCAGCAGTTATTGGCAACAGCTGCACTCCCCAGACTAGCACCAGGCCTGGAGTACCGACGATTACCCAGACACAACCATCTGAATTTCAGAAGCTCAGTAATGAAGTCCCTATGGCACAAGGGGCGTGCTTATCGCTCACCAGCCATTACTTTCACCTTGATTACCAAAGGACATTGCCTCGACCCGATTCAAATATCGACGGCGCAACCCCTGCAAGTTGCACGGCGACTCTTCACAAGCCCAGCTGCACCGCGCCTCCTACCACGAGCTAAGGCCTGCTGGGAGCTAATGAAGTCTCGTTCGACCAGTGCGACAGATGGTGGGCCTATTGGCCGCATATTTACAGTTCTGAGCGACCTTGGCTGGACCTGGCCTGAGTTTGATTATTTCAAGCGTGCCAATGGTCAGCTGGTCTACTTGGCAAAGCATCCTGAGGGCTGGTGGCAGCATGTACTTCGAGAAGACTTGCGTCGCTGGGTGTGGTCTACCGACCCTCAGTTGCTTGAGAGAAAAGACATGCTCGGCTCCAAGCCCGGCATAAATTATCATATCACAACGGCCATTCTCAGGCGTGCTGAACGCAGTCTACGGCCAGATGATGACGAAGAAGATAACCCTGACAGTGTCAAGCCTCAGCCCCCACTCCTACTGGATGCGGTGGATGTCACAGTGCCGAAGCTGACACGAGAGCAATTACCCTTTCTGCGCGCCCTGCTCCAGGGAGCAACTGTCACAGGCCACAGGCTTCACCACATCACAGGTCAACGAGATCATCGATATTGCCCTTTTTGTGGAGACCCTGACGAAGATATGGATCATATCCTCCTGCATTGCCCCCAGTGGACCCAGCAGCGCCAACCGTTGCTCGACCACTACACGAAGGATGAGATTCTTGCCCTACCTGTATGCTACCGACAATGTGGCCTCTGCCCAGACAGGCCAGTATATGACAATTTCGCATCTGAGCTGTTTCCTGATGAACCTGATCTTCCACCTCCCCCTCACCATGCTGATGGGAATTACGAGCCAGGCCAGGACGAACACAGCACCACACGCGAGAAGGAAGGATACTTAGTGGTGGCGGGGGATGGTGCCTGTCCTGGACAGGCGTCAGACTTACGCCTACGAAGATCTGGTTACGGTCTCTACTATGGAGAGAACCACCCCTGCAACGTTTCTGTCCCGCTGAGGAGCGTCTCACAAGGAGCTCAGAGGGCTGAGGTCAGTGCCCTTCGACACTTTGTATCCTGGGCTTGGTCCAAGCAGCTCTACCTCACCGACAGCGCATACTGCGTCAGAAATTTTACTGCTATCCTGAATGGCATGACTATTAATCCTCGCCAGCATCGTGACCTGTGGACAGCTATCGCCACAGGAGTCGCTGCGAAAGGATCAGATTGTTTCCGCATTGAGAAGATCAAAGCACATCGCAAACGAGATGAAGTACCCCCAGAAGACCTACCTGACTGGGAGGCTAACAAACAGGCAGATGACAGTGCTGTTCAAGCTGCACGCCAACATAGTGTGCCAGAGGATATCAGACACCAACACCTGCGAGATCAGCATCTATGTTATACTCTTCAGCACACAGCCACGATTATCTTGGCTGCACGTGCAAAGCAACTTCAGGCTATGGGAAGAGACACTCATCATGCCCGATGCGCTCAAGCCGAAGCTATGCAAAATGCCGAACTGGAAGGTGCAGACCCCCAATGGCCAGACGAGGATGCTGAGGATCCTTGGGCTCATCTCGGCATGGACGATGACGGTACGAACGAAGCAGGTGAACAGAGAGCTGCATCGCCCCTGGTCCTGAGGACTGAGGCATCACCAGAACCCCATCTGGGAAATCAGCCAGCGACTGTCTCACCGACCCTGACACAGGATGGTTCTTCTGCTAGCCCGACGGTTGCAGCCACAACGGCGGCTGCGGACACCCCTCGCAGTTGTCTACGAGAAGGCCAACCTGCACAAGCACCAATGCACCGCCTGCGGAGCAAAACACCGCGACCTACGGCGACATCCTGTACTACAGATACGCCACCAACAACCACCCCAGCCTCATCATCTTGTCCGGCTGCGGACCCAGCAACATCAGCGTCGTCAAGCTCCACGTGGGTACGACCAGCTTTAGATCAGATGACTACCAATCCCTTGACCTGGAGTCCGAAGATGGCCTTCCCTGGTTATCCCTGGGACCCTGTCGAGGTGAACTTGCCTGAGTGGGAATTCGAACCACAGATTCCAGAGATACTGACAGGCAAAGATTGGTACTACCAACAGGCTCTATTTCCTGCGATTGTCTGGTATTTTGCGCAACTTCGATGGGCAGCTGATGATACACCAATGGCGCCCATGTCCGTTTCCTGGGCGGAGTTGGCGATTGACTTCACTATCTGTACTGGATTACCGTTGGTCACGCCAGCGGAAGACCCACAGACTGCTACTCTTGAGCGCATGGCGAGATACTTCTCGACAGCTGCTACTCGGATGGGCTATTTGTGCAAGTGCAAATTGGGACCACGTGAATGTTTCAAAGAGATTCGCGCTTTATCACCACTGGGTATACGTGCAGTGCCTGGCTTCAAGTGCAGGCCAGTGTTTGTGAACCACCAACACACGATGCGAGTACTGTATGCTGTGGCTTTGGCGACGACGGAGAAGACAAAAGGCATTCGAGTGCAGCCAGCTTGGGGTTCAGTACCCAAGCCCATATGGCAACCACCGAAGCTAGCCGAGAACCTTTCAACAACGGTGAGGCCAAGCGATATTGTTGCAAGGGCCGCTGCTGCAGCTGAACATGTCTCTGAGGTGCGACGGGCTCATCATGTCACTTCTGTCAAGGTCATGCGAGCTACCATCACTTGGACGGACGAGGAGAAGAAAGATTGGGAGGGCCTCAAAGGCCGAGATCTTCAGAATGAGCAGAAAAGACTTCTGCACAACCGCGAGGCACGCCAACAGGGATATCATGTGCTTGCCCCTCTCAAGGGGCCGAACAAGGATCAACCTGCCAAATTGGTGTGCATCAATTGCAAGCTCGAGTCAAAAGTGAGCCAGCTTGGCTCATGGTCGCGCCTTCTTTGTCAGCCTGGAGCTCCACGTGGCCCACGTCTTGGCAAGAAGCGCACCGCTGCTGACTACGTAATCATGGTAGATGAGCATAACAAGAGGACCAAGATTCCAGGTAACCGTTGTCACGTTCTCACACATTATCGAGCTGACCAAAAGGACAAGGAATTGGTTTGTACTCTCTGTGGCCCCACAGCACCGACAAGAAGGTTTCAGCAATTTACTGCCGCTCTTTGTGGAGGGCGTTAGGACGCAAAATCCAGGCTAATCACCTGGTTTAGTCGCACAGCCATCGTCCACCCCTCTGGTGCACCTGCCTGTTGGACTTAGGTCGCTCGCAGGACAACAGCGTGTAGGGGTAGCGGTGAGTCTGGTTTTGCTGGATGCATCTGGTATGCTGGATGTATTGTTTTATCTATCGCCGAGGGGGAGGACCCGTAGGGCCATTACTGGTGGCCACGATGCCTTAATCGCGACGGAGCGTGCTCCCCCTCGGTCGGCGCTGTGATTATTGAGTATTGTGACATGGTGGGCTCAAACTTTTGCGCACGTCCACTGTACACGGGCCCCTTGCATTGCATGAGAGGGTATCTTCATATGGTTTATCAGGCGAGGAGGCAGCCAATGGCAGTTTTTTCTCTTGGAATGCACACATGAGCAACATCAAGATAGAGTTCTCATATGATATGTCGTACATGGAGCGGGACATCAGTTCACATACTGGTATTTCCTCACTCAGATGATAGTGTTGAACCTTCCGTCGCCGAGTGGGCACTGAAGGCAACAAGTCTTTTTCAGTTATAATGAAGCAGGGAAGACTTCGAGTTTCCCTCAGCCAGTACTTCGGTGTATGGGCTGCTATTATTACATACTGTCCTGATGAAATGGTTCACTGCGGACGAGTGCCAAGGTGAAGGATGAGAACAAGGAGGAAGCAGCCGAATTCTCAGCCGGCGAGGCAGAGCTCACGGACACTCTGAGCGCCCTGTCGCGGGCGATCGACCTGATCTCCAAGGAAATGGCCAAGAACCCCGCCGCCTTCGTGCAGATGGATGTCTCGGGCGTGGCTGGTCTGGTCACTGCTCTCAGCACAATTGTGGACGCTGTTTCCCTCGGGGGTGCCGATAAGGATAGGCTCGTTGCGTTTGCGCAGGAGCAGCGGGATGCAGCTGAGTCGGACGAGTCTGGTGCCCCTGACCCAGCAGCGTACAGGTCACACAGCAAGGGGATCCTGGACGTCCTCGAGGATCTGAAGGCAAAGGCCGAGGAGCAGCTCGCCACCCTGCGCAAGGAGGAGTCGAGCACTCAGCACAACTACGCCCTGTTGAAACAGAGCCTGGAAGACGAGGTTGCCTACAACACGAAGGAGCTGAAAGAGGAGAAGGCGTTCAAGTCTGACACGGAGGAGGCGAAAGCGACTGCCACCGCGGATCTTGCAACGACCACGAAGTTGCTCAAGGACACGGAGGCAGCGAGGTCGGCAACGCAGGCCGATTGCATGAAGTTAGCGACAGACCACGACGTCTCCACCGCAGGCCGCACTGCCGAGCTGAACACGATCGCCGCCGCGAAGAAGGCGCTTGTGGAGACAAGCTCTGGCGCTGTGGAGCAGACGTATTCCTTCATCCAGAAGGTAAGCTCGAGCCTGCGCACTGGCGCAGACCTGAAGGGCGCCGAGGTGGCCCGCTTCGTCAAGAGGCTGGCCAAGGACCATCATTCTGAGGCCCTCGCGCAGCTGGCATCGCGCATCACAGCGCTCATGCAGTACGGCAGTGGCGCCGGGGCGGATCCCTTTGTAAAAGTGAAAGGGCTGATCACGGACATGATAGAGAAGCTTCAAGCCGAGGCTGACGCGGCTGCGACCGAGAAGGCCTACTGCGACGAGCAAATTGCCAAGACCGAAGCGAAGAAGTCGGAGCTCGAGGATGACATCGCCAAGCTGACGTCCAAGATCGACACCAAGAGCGCACACTCGGCCAAGCTCAAGGAGGAGGTGAAAACACTGCAGACGGAGCTGGCCTCGCTTGCCAAGGAGCAGGCAGAGATGGACCAGATCCGCTCTGACCAGCACGCAGACTACCTCCAGGCCAAAGCCGACCTCGAGCTTGGCCTGGAGGGCGTGGGCAAGGCGCTCTCGATCCTCCGCAAGTACTACCAGGGTGACGGGGCCGCCATGCTCCAAAGCCAGCAGCCAGCGAAACCCGTGTTCCACAGCAAGGCCGCAGGCGCAGGTGGCAGCATAATCGATATCCAGCTGCCTGCGGCAAGTCCCGCCACCGTTCCAGCCCAGCATTATCGGTGGCAACTGCTCGAAACAATGGTTTTCTGCGGCATGAGACGAGGAAGAAGATGAGGAGAGGAGGAGAAGCAGGAGGAGGAGGAGGAGGATTGTGGCGGACGCGTGGGATGAACAACATTATGATGATGGTGACGATGCTGATGATGGTGAGGATGATGATGGTGATGATGATGATTATGATGATGATGATGATGATGATGATGATGATGATGATGATGATGATGATTATGATTATGATGATGATGATGATGATGATGATGATGATGATGATGATGATGATGATGATGATGATGATGATGAAGAAGGAGACGAAAAAGAAGAGAACGAAGACGAGGATGGTGGCGTTGACGATGGTTATGAGGAGGAGTGGGAAAAAAAGAAGGAGAAGAGGGGGGCGAGCAATCACATGTGACACCTTCCATCTTCAGTTCTCGAGGAGGCCTCATGGACTTCATTCCAGTTTGAGGCCCTCGTGGGGTGGGTCCGTCCTGGGCTGTCCGGGAGCCTTCTTAGGCTGCCTTGAAGCCGTCTTGGATGCCTCTTGGACGACGGTGAGGCCCTCTTGGGCCATCGTGGGACCAACGTGGAGGCTTCTTGGGCCGGTTTAAGCCGACGGAAGCCCGAAAAGGCGAGAATGCACGCATCATTCGAAAACTACAGAAAATGAATGATGTTGGCCTAGTCGGGCCTTGTTGGAGGTTCTCTTAGAGCCCTCTTGGCCGTCTTGCAGGTCTCTTTGATTGTCTCGAGGCCATCTTGAGACCATCTGAGGCCGTCCTGGAGGCATCTTGGACAATCTTGGCGGCCCTGGTGGCCTGCTCGGGCCGTCTTGGAAGCCATCCCGGGCAACTGAGACGCCTCGGAGAGCGCCAGCCCAGAGAGCCTCGGGAGGGGGGTCGATGCATGCAAATGGATGCTAGTAAACGGGGGGAGGCCCCTTAGACGATTACAGAGACCCTAACAGACGGCACTTGGCTTTCTACCACGCCTCAACGTGCCAGTGGACACGGTGGCGGATCCTGGAGGTCATAGAGTCCGATTTCGCGAAGAACCTTGCCGACGAGGAGGCAACGGAGGCGGATGCGTTGTCCTCGTACGATGCCAGGACGCAGGAGATCAAGGTGTCCATGGCCACGAAAAGCCAGGATGTGAAATACAAAGTGCAAGAGTTCAAGGGCTTGGACAAGGACGTCAACGAGCTGTCCGCTGACCGCACGTCCACCAACGAGGAGCTGTCGTCGGTGCTGGAGTACTTTGCCCAGGTCAACCAGCGCTGCATCGCCAAGCCGGAGACGTACGAGGAGCGCAAGGCCCGCCGCGAGGCCGAGATACAAGGATTGAAGGAAGCCCTTGCGATCCTGAGCGACGAGACCGCTGCGTCGCTCCTGCAGGCGCGCAAACACCGCTCCCTGCGCCAGGGGGCCCTGACCGCGTGAGGTGGCCTGCCGTGCCCGTGCGGCGGCCGAGCGGCTGCGCAGCCAGTGCCGGGGCGCTCCGGGAAGGGCCCCGCCGCCGAGGGATCGAGAAGCTGACACCTCTGCCCCAGCGGAAGGTGGCGGAAGGGCGGCGGAAGCCAGCGGAGGAAGTCCAGTGAGGGATGGAGGTGCTTCATTTTCGAACCAAGGCTCTCGTCGCTCTGGCGCCGCGCACACCCGTCTCACAAGCTCGCAGCAGCTTCACGCACGGAGGGCTGGTGCTTCTCAAAATGGAGCGTTTGCTTGAATCTTCCGTGAAAGTGTAGGGCATTGGACCTGAGCAGGGTATGCAGCAGCTGCGCGAGTGGAGGCCGGTTCTTTTTCAAAGGGGGGTTCTCGCTTGAGACCTCTCTCGAACATCACGACTACACAGTGGAAACCCATGCCAAGAAACACCCTGCTTGCCTCCAGGGTGCCCTGGGTTTCTTGTGTTTCGATGGTTTTGCGATGGAAAGCGTGACGGTGACGTTCCCACACCAAGAATCGATGGACCTCCTGGGGTCTCACAGTTGGGTTTCTTGTGGAAGGTGTCTTGTGGTCGAGCTCCTGTTGTATGCGGCAGGGTTCACCGGCGGAAGCCGGTAGAAGTACAATATCCAGGACGTCAGGAGTCCGCCAATTCGAGCCAGCCGCTTCCGCCTCACCTTCTTCCGCCTCCCTCATCCTCCTCCGCCACCCTCCGCCTGCTCCTTGGACACCAGCCAATAATAGAATAGATTGCCACATGCCCACTTCACATCCTGCTCACCATCGTCATAGTCATCGTCCTTCGGCGACACTCCCCTCTCACCTCACCCCTCTGTTCTCGTTCTCACCTTGCGCCTCAACCACATTCAAACTGAAAGGGACAAAGTTCGTCAGTGGTGCTCGTATCTCATCTGATCCTCCTACCGCACTCCTGTTGGATCAAGATGTCTCGCTCACACGATTTAGATGCCCCATCCCACACCCCGGTTGCGCACCACATAGCTTACACCACATAGCTCACACCACATACGGGTACGCGAATAAGCTCCACAGAGGTTGCCCGACATAGCCTACACCACATATATTGCATCGCGCATTATGTCACCACTCATGTTGCGTACCACATGGATTGTGCCACATAGCTTACACCACAGAGACAACACAACGTAGATTACACCACTCAGCCTACGCCATACCACATAGATTGCACCACACTTGCTTAACATAGGTTCTCCTTTCTAAAAGCAAAATAGGATCTACCCACCCCCCGGGGGGAGGTAGATCCTTCCGGGTTCACCTTGCGGGTGTGGTCATCATCATATATGATTATGACCACATGTCCATCCTAAATATGAATTTACACTATCCCCGGGGGGCCGGTATCCCCCCCCTGAGGTTCCTTTGTAAAAAAATCATTATGCGGTGGCATGTTTTGTTCTAACATAACACTTGTTCACGAATCCCTTGCAACAAATTTTACGAAGTGCACACGCGCGTCGTCGCGCGCGCATGCCGAAATCCTTCAAAAACCTTCGGTGCTGGAAGGATGTCGCAATCGAGTTTCCAAAAAACATACAAAAACACAGGGTTTTGCAACATTGAATTGCTAAGAAAGCTTCCGCGCGAGCTCTTGCGAAATCTTAAGAAAACCATTGATTTTTCAAGATTTTCACAACATGCTATAAAACGGGCTTCGCGCGCGCGCAGGTCGAAATCTGTCGAACGCCCTTGCGCGTGTGCCGTCGCGAGAATCCTCTGCAAAAAAATGTGACGAAGTGCAGACGCGCGCGTCGTCGCGCGCGTATGCCGAAATCCTTCAAAACCCATAGGTTTCGGAAGGATTGCATAATTGCGTGTCCAAAGAACCTATTATCCCAGTGCGACCCTACCTAAGTACCTAGGAATTGGAGCATTCAGGAAAGCAACATCTACATCTACACCGACAGCTACGTTTACATCTACACCTGCATCTACATGCACATGAACATCAACAGCGAGCTCACATCTACATCTACATATACACCTACATCTACCTCTACACCTACATCCACACCTACACCTACATCTACATCTACATCTACATCTACAATGTCGCATGGGTGTTGCTTGTGTTTTGCATTGCTTTTGCTCTTGCCGCTGCTGTTGCTTTTGCTGGTGCTTTGCTATGCTATGATATGATATGTTATGCTATGCTGCGCTATGATGTGCTGTGCTATGCTATGCTGCGCTGTGCTCTGCTAAGCAATGCTATGCTATGCTATGGTGCGCTATGTTATGTTATGTTATGCTGAGCTATGCTATGCTATGCTATGCTATGATTGGCTATGTTATGATATGATATGCTGTTATAATGCTGCGCTGCGCTATGCTGCGCTAAGCTAAGCACGAAGGTAAGCTAAGCCATGCTAAGCTAAGGTAAGCTAAGCTAAGCTATGCTAAGCTAAGCAAGGCTAGGCGAAGCTAAGCTAAGCCAAGCCAAGCTAAGCCAAGCTAAGCTAAGTTAAGATGAGATAAGCTAAGCTAAGCTAAGCTAAGCTAGGCTGGGGTACGCTCAGCTATGCTAAGCTTAGCTGAGCTAAGCTAAGGTAAGCTAAGCCAAGCTAAGCTAAGTTAGGGGAACCCAGGGTGCGCAACTGGGGGAACCGCGGGGCGGATCCTAGGGGAACCGCCCAGGGCGGGGAACATTGCCCGGCCCCTTTAAGCTAATAAAGTAAGAACCCTTCTAGGCAGAGCCTAGGTAGGGAACAAAAACCCAAGGTTTCGCAACACGGATTTTCAACAAAAGCGTGCGCGCGCGCTCTTGCGTCGTCGTCGTCGTCGTCGTCGCGTCCTCCCTCCTCCCGCGTCGTCGTCGTCGTCGCCTACGTCGTCCTCTGTCTTTCCTCGTGTTCGTCGTCGTCGTCCTCGTTGGCGTCGTGGTCGTTTCCGTCGTCGTTGTCGCCGTGGTCGTCCTTCCTCCTCCTCCTCCCTCGTCGTCGTCGTTTTCCGTCGTCGGCGTCTCGTCGTCGTCCCTCCTATTCCGTCGCCGTCGTCGTCGTCGTCGTTGTCGTCGTCATCGTCTTCCTTCCTCCCTCGTTGTCGTCGTCGGCGTCGCCATCATTCCTCCTTTTTCGTCGTTCGCGTCGTCGCCGTCCTCCCTCCTCCCTCGTCGTTGTCGCTGTTGTCGTCGTTGTCGCCGTCGTCGTCCTCCTTCCTCCCTCGTCGTCGTCTTCGTTGGCGACGTCGTCGTCGTCGTTGTCTTCGTCGTCGTCGTCGGCGTCGTCGCTTCGTCGTCGCCGACGTCGGCGTCGTCGTCGTCGCCGCCGCCGTCGTCGTCGTCGTCGTCGTCGTCGTGGTCGGCGTCGTTGACGTCGTCGTCGTCGGTGTCGTCGTTGTCGTCGTCGTCGTCGTCATCGTCGTCGTGGGTTTTGCAAGCCAAGTTGCGTGTGGGTGGGTGGGATGTTTGCAAGAGCGCGGGATGTGTCAACTCGTTTGTTAAAATCAATTGCACCACATAGCTTGCCCCACCTAATTTCAATGCACCAGTTCCTTATCGTCAATGGTGTTCTTATCTTATTGTGTTATCCTACCGCACTCGCTTTGGATCAAGCTCTCACGTTCACACTATTTGGGTGCCCCCCCGCCCCTCGCTCGCGGACGCGCGCAAGCAGCAATGAAGTGTTCCGTCCTGGTCTCCATCCTCGCGCTCGCGGGCGTGCGTGGCGCGACCGCTGGCGAGTCAAATCCCCTGGGCAAGGTCATCGAGCTCATGGACTCCCTGGCGGCGAAGCTGGTCGCAGACGGGGATGCCGAGGACAAGGCATTCCACAGGTATGTGGAATGGTGCGACGAGACGACTTCGAATCAGAAGTACGACATCGACACCGCAACCACCAAGAGCAGCGAGCTCGGGGCCACGATCGCGAAGGCGACCAGCGACATCGAGGCGGCCGAGGGCAAGATCGGCGACCTGGCGGGCAAGATCGCGAAGGCAGAGGGAGAGCTGAACGACGCCGCGCTGATCCGCAAGAAGGAAGCAGCCGAATCCTGTGACATAGTGGAGTTCGACCAGAGGGGCCTCGTCACGGGCTTCAAGGGCGACTCTGCCGAGACGTACAACCTTCTGAACCACAGCTTCAGGTTCTCGGTTGTCATGACGACGGATGATGGATATCACGAGATGGTCCATTGCGTCGCGAAGTACGTCCACATATATTATCTTCAGAATATTAGCATCAATTTTGTGGAGAGATGTTGTTGGGGCTTCATCTTTCCAGGGGATCGAGAATATTCACTTGGATATAGGTGGCTTATCACCCACCAGGCGTGGAATCGACTTCAGCATGCGCTCCATGGCAATGGGCCGGGGGCGAAGACTGCACTACGCAAGCGACTGGCGAAGCTGGCCAACACTCCAGCGACGATGGCGTCTCGAGTCATGACTGTGCTCGAGATGAAAGAGGTATCCCAGGCTCAGAAGACGCACGACCACCTGCGGAACATAAGTAAAGAAAGAATGGCAGAGATATCAAAGATGGAGGCCGAGAAAATCTTTCCAGAGATCACCAAGTGGCTCAAGGAGAGACCGCTCGGCTCGAAGCTCCCTGACACGGACTCGGAGCCCAAGAAGAAGAAAGTGAACAAGAAAAAAAAGTCAGCAGCTACACCACAACCGACATGGCAGCTGACAACCAAGCTCGACGATGCAGACTGGTCACTACCGACTGTACGAGGGCTGCCATCGCAATATGACGACATGAAGCGGATCCACCTTGTCACCGTGAACGAGATGGCGCAGCTTCTGTCAGATAAGGACTTCTGGAGCAAAGAGTTGCCGAACGACCCCTTTGGATTCGTCTTGGCGCAGCCGCCAGACAGTCTCCCGAAAGATCTTGTCCTTCAGTGCGCACAAAGAGGGCTGACGGATAAAATTTCATTATTAAGTGTACCGCTCACTCACCCAGATGGACGCCGTGAACTACGCAAGTTGTTTGTATGGCAACATGTTGGCGCGCAGGGTACGGATATCAAACCTACGCGTGTCCCCACAAAGATCGAGTGCCAGTCAGAGGTTCTCATGTCTGTGGCGATCTTGGAGGAACACTCGACAGAGAAGTTATTCAAAGAACTGGCACGCCTTCACCGACAAGCTACAGCGGCACGCGACAAGCGAGCTGAAGCAGGAGGAGGAGGCCAACGTAAGAAGTACAACGAGCTGCCGCCTTGGCGCGTTCTTGACGCCGAGATGGCCAATATTGTGAAGACCAAGCTCATCCCGACGGACCTGGAGGTAATATGCTACAGTGGGCGCATGTTCAATGAGGATGATGCAGGTCGGCGTGTGATATCAGCATTATTTCGTATACCAGCAAATCGAGTCCAACAGCTTCGTGAAGTCTCTGGCCCTGATGGAGTTTTCTTTCAGAGATCTAATATTGGGAGCGACGGAGCTGTACTCAAACAAGAAAAAGAAGATGAGGAGTTTGTACCATTCCAGCGCGGCAAGACCATCAGCGAGGCGATCGAGCTGACGGCAGCCCTGGAAGCAGCATGCGGCCTTGGCGATCATTTCAAATCACTCAATCTGTTCGTTCGTGTCAAAAAGCAAAGTGCAGCAGCAGCATGGCAAGCACCACAACAAAGAGCGCCACCAGCAGCTACGATCTATGAGATCTCCCCGCTGCCAGCGCTGATCGACGGCAAGGCCCTCTGCGACCAGCTCAAGACGCAGATGGGATGGCAATCTGAATTCGTGAGCATACGGCAGCGAGGCAACGGCAAACGACGTATCCCAGTGGTGCGAGTGCGTGCTGAGTCAGCCCCTGCTAGTCGTGACATATCTATTGGAGGTTGCCAGGCAACGATAAATCCAAGAGTGGAAAAGATTACGGAGGCTCCTACCACAGCACCTACGTGGGCCGAGCCTGTCACTCAATATTCTGCAAGTACATCGACATCTACGCCGAAGCCACCTGTCACAACTAAGAAGAGCATTGCCACGCAATTGACTCGACCGAACGTGCCGGTGCAAGCTCAGGATGTACAGATGCAACCTCGTGTACAACAACCCGCTCAGCAGCCAGAAGCAGGAGCTGGACTATCAAAAGAATTTCGTGAATTTCTAACGTCAGCTATCGGAGCCGCGGTTGGAAGCCACAATGCTGCAATATTATCACAACTACATCTTCAAGGCCAAGGACTTGCACGATGTTTGGACATGATGATCGGCCCAGCGCCCTCATCAGCACCACCATCGCCAGCGACAGGGACCCTTGTTATCGACGAAGAACGTAAACGGAAGGCCGAGCTTGAGGAGTTCACAAAGAAACTCAAGACGTCCTTGGAAATAAAGTCGGAGCAATGATGGCCTCGCGACGTATGCGAGGCAAACAGCCGCCACCTCAAAGGGCGGCGGTGGAGGGAGAGATCCCTGCTCTGGCTACTATTCTATCAGCAAATGTCACATCTTGGAATTCGTTCGTGGGACGTATGGATACCATGGACGTCGACCTACTTCTATTGCAAGAAACGCGATTGGATTATAAACGACAAATGGGTTGCTCAAAAGCTTGTCAAGCTCACGGGTACGAGGCCACTTTCGGGCACCCACTCAGACCTCAGAAATGCCTTGGAGACAGGTACCATCGTACGCAGCAGGGTGGGGTTGCCACCATTGCTAAACGATCTCTGGTCACGCTCCCAGGCGGGCGCAAGTATGGGGCAGCCAAGGAGATGTACGCGACGACTCGCTGGCTTCGGGTTGTAGCTCTCTTTGGCCCACGTCCCATCCACTTCGTCAACCTCTACAACGAAGCTGGCCATGACAATATGATCAGGACCCGCAATGATCGGAACCTGCATTATACTTTTGAGGATGCTGAAGGCCTTGGCGATCAAGCTGTGGTTATCTGCATGGATGCGAATACTACTATGGGGCACTCCTCCACGCTTGCAGCTATTCTTGCCACAGGACGTTGGCATGACGTAGGTGCTATGTTTGGAGCTGAGCCGACATATGGAGTTGACCCCTCTTGGGACAAGTTTACACATGGCACGAACGTGAGTCGCCCAGACCTCATCATAGTCAACACGGCGGCCAGGGACGCCATCAAGACGTTCCGACTACGACGTGACCTAGGAATCAAGAGTCACCTGGGGCTCGAGATGACACTGAACGTTGGACTGCTCACGAACACCTTCGACAGTATCAGGATCCCTCGAGCTTACCCAGTGGAGTCTGCCATCAAGATTAGCGCCGAGGACAGCGATGCCCTTGGACGTCAATGTATTGAAGTACACTATGAAGCTTTTGAGCAAGCACTTATCGACGAACGGGCCGAGGATGCTTGGGCCCTTTGTCGGAAAGATTGGCGAGCTTTACTTGGAAAAGAGACTTGAGCATACTGGCATTACCTTCGGAGCTGTATATCATGGCCGAAGCCAAGAGCCTGAACTTACCACCTGGGAGAGTACGGCACCACCTGCAGGTCGAGACAAGCTGAAAGAAGGACCCACGGCGACGATCTTGCGACGTCTGGAGAACCTCATCAGCCGTTTGGCCGAGTTGGCACTACAACAGCATCGCGGAGCCGCACATCCCAGCTTTCATGCAAAATTGAAGTCCCAAGCGCCCTGGCGCAAAGTACGAGGACCGCTACGACGCGAGCTGAACTTACCAGCTGGCATACCAATTGGATTACCGAGTTCTACCCAGATTGGGGAATGGACTACAGCATTGGAGAACAAACACAGCAAACACGTCAAAGAGCGCAAGTTGGCGAGGATCGACAGTTGGCGCAAGACATTGAGAGACTCTCTACGATATTCTGGTGGACGTGAGGTCTACGCGTGGATCAAACAACGGCAGTACCAGACAATTCATGCAGTACGTGGTCATGCAGACCCTACTCAGATTCACACACGAAGAAAGGAGATGCTACATCAGATTGATCTTTTCTGGAGCAGGATCTTCAACAAAGGCGAGCTGAAGACATGGGACAAGTTCGAGACCCGTTTCGGCGAATACATCAAGCAATATCCATGTGAGATCGAGGACATAACGGGCCATCGACTTCATCGACAATTTTGCAAAATGAATGTGCATCGCGCTGCTGCCGCTGACGGATGGAGAGTTGCTGAACTTCGACTTCTGCCACCCTGCATATGTGACCTATTCGCCACCCTCTGCAAAGGAGTCGAGGATGCATGGTTACGGTGGCCGCGTGCAATGACTCTTGGAATTACGAGCTGCCTCCCGAAGTGGGATCAGGAGGCTGACCTTGCTGCGGAGATTGAGCCAGACAACGTGTGGACAGCTTCAATTTCGGACACGAGGCCAATCACCAACTTGAGCCCAATATACACTGCTGTCACAGGTGACAGATTTACTCAAATGGCATCTTGGCGTGAACTTTGGTTGCACGACGGAGCTATTGGAGCCAGGAAAGGATATCACTACCAAGCTGTATCCTGGGAACTGGCGCTGGATATTGAATATGCACACATCACGGGTACTCCGACCTCAGGATGTTCAGCAGATCGCCGAAAGTTCTTTGACCTCCTCGAGTACGAGATAGGCAACAGATTGATGAAAGCACTGGGCTGCCCTGAGGGTGTCATGCATGCGTCCACCATCTTCTACGAGGATCTCCGAGCGAGATGGAAGGCAGCACGTGCAGTTGGCCCAGAGACAAAGCGCAGCAACGGTTTTATCCAAGGTGACTCCTGGTCTCTGCAGCAGGCACTTGCATTGATGTCGATTTGGAGCCATGCCCTCGAGAAAGAAGAAGAGGTCAAAGTCGCATCCTTCATCGACGATGGTAATTTCAGAGCCGAAGGACCTCAGCATGCCATTCGGACCGCCAATGCAACAACTATCTCAGTTGAATTTGATCAGCATTCAGGTACTCAGACCAATGTTGAGAAGACTAAGCACTTCGCCACATCGATCAAGGCTGAGAAGGAGCTACGGCACCATCTCCACGCCCAAGGACATGTCCAAGCATCGATTGTACGGAATTTTACTCTGGTGGGTGGAGAGATATGTACGCTGGGAATGTGCCCATAGGCGGAGCGACGCCGTCGGTATACCTCAGCATATCGTGTGACACAGCGTACTGGTGCTGCCCCACTCGGACTCCAAGGAAAGCAGCGTTTTTTGGCAACAGCGGCCTTACCACGACTTGCGCCAGGATTCGAATATCGACGACCGCCGAAACACAATAATCTTAATTTCAGATCGGCAGTGATAAAAAGCATGCGGCAAAGAGGGAGAGCGCATCGATCCCCAGCAATGACACTTACTCTTGTTACTCGAGGTCATCTGCTTGACCCTGTGCAGATTGCTACTGCACAACCACTGGTGATTGCGAGAAGGCTCTTCTCCAGCCCAAGCGCAGCACGACTACTACGACGTGCGAAGCAGTGCTGGGACATCTTGCAACATCGAGTAACATTCACCGTGAAGGACAACGACACAGGTCCCATCAACAGGATACGCTCCGTTTTGAAGGACCTACAATGGACATGGCCAGCCTTCGACTACTTTGAGGGGGCGAACCACCAACGAATCTACCTCACCAAGCACCCGATGGGCTGGTGGCAACATACATTGAGAGAAGATCTTCGACGATTTGTGTGGCGTACCGATCTTCAGCTACAGGAACGGAAGGACATGAAGGGCTGCGCTGTTGGCCTGAATTACCACGTGACCACGTCCATCCTGCGCAAGGCTGACCGCACCACCAAGCCCGATGACGAGGACGTGGACGACGAGCCGAAGGAGCAGCCCCCGTTGCTTCTTGGATCCACGGACATACCAGTACCTAAACTCACTTCCAAGCAGGTTCCTTTCTTGCGTGCATACCTCCAGGGAGGCACCATCACAGGACACAGGCTGCACTACATTACCAAGAATCCAGCCCACAAGAAGTGCCCGTTCTGCCTCGCCCTCGACGAGACTATGCATCACATCATATTGGACTGCCCCAGATGGGAATTGCAAAGAAAAGCATTACTGGACAGCTGCACGAAGGAGGAACTTCTTGCGCTACCGACGTGCCTCTTGTGCTGTGGACAGTTACCAGACAAGCCAGAATACGATGCCTTCGCATGCGAACTACTGCCAGATGATCCTCCATTACATGCACCGCCACATCATGCTGACGGCGAGTACGAGGTGGGAGATCACGAAGAGGGCATTCTCACAAAGATCGATGACTTCACTGTCGTAGCTGGTGACGGGTCATGTCCTGGCCAAGCGTCGGACTTACGTCTGCGCAGGTCGGGCTACTCATTGTACTACGGCAGAGGGCATCCATGCAATGTTGAAGTACCCTTGCGCAGCGTGGCACAGGGAGCTCAGAGAGCAGAGGTTGCAGCACTTCGGCACTTTGTCGCGTGGAGCTGGGGCAAACAGATCTACCTGACGGACAGCAGCTACTTCGTTCGCAACTTCTCAGCACTCCCCCGAGGGGAAGCGCTAAATACCAAGCAGCACACCGACCTCTGGCAGGCCATCGAGACTGGACTCAATGCCAAGGGACGAGATCTATTTCGAATACAGAAGGTCAAAGCCCACACGCGTGAGCGTGACATTCCAGCAGATGAACGCCTCTTGTGGGAAATGAATCGCCAGGCAGATGCAGGAGCTGTACGCGCGGCAAGGTCACATGGCCTTCCAGACACCATTCGCCAGCAGCATCGACAAGAGCAGAAATTATGTTACCTTCTTCAGCACACAGCGACGGTCATCCTCATGCACCGAGCAACAGAGTTGAAAGAAATGGGCCGAGATTCACATCATGACAGATGCTAGCAGGCTCAAGCTATGGAACGTGCTGAGTTGGATGGTCAACAACATGCACAACCTGACGAAGACAACGAGGAGGACCCGTGGGCACATCTGGGCATGGACTCGGATGACGAGCAACCCCAGCTACCGCCACAACGGACCTCCTCGTCACCATCCCAGCCAGCACCGACGGCCTCGCCTGCCCCAAGGCGACGACTACCACGCAAAGCAGCTCCAGAAGCAGATCCACCAGTTGTTATCCTCGGTGAACCCAGCTCGTCATCGAGCTCGAGACCGCAGGAGACACGCACTGGACTAGCACTGGACCAAGCTACTACGAACCCGACAAATTGGACCCCGAAGGCAGCATTTCCTGGCTATCAGTGGGATCAAATTCAACCGAATACGTATGATTGGAAGTTCAAACCAATACTACCTGAGACGGTGGCCAATCGAGCTTGGTACTACCAACAGGCGCTATTTCCTGCAGTGGTATGGTACTTCTCACAACTACAGTGGGAGGCCGATGACACGGTGCGAGCGCCAATGTCGGCGTCCTGGGTAGAGCTTGCCATTGATTTCACTATTGTAACAGGCCTCTCTCTTGTCACGCCGCAGGAGAGCGCTAGTGAGGCAAAGATCGTGCGCATGGCTAGATACTTCAGTACTGCAGCTACGAGGATGGCACAGCTATGCAAATGCAAATTGGCTCCACGAGAGACCCATGCCGAGATAAGCGCCTTGATACCACTTGGTCTTCGCAAGGCCCCAGGATTCAAGTGCAGAGCGTCTTTTGTGGCTCACCAGCACACGATGAAGGTGATGCACACGCTGGCCCTCGCTTCTACTGACCGCAGGGGCAGCCTCGACGTGCGCCCCGACTGGTGCTCGCCGCCGAAGCCGATATGGAACGTTCCTTGCCTCAAGGAGAACATAGTCAAGACAGTACGAGACAGCGACCTTTCTTCACGTGCAATGCAATCAGTGGCATCACTTTCAGAGAGAGGTACTCACACCAGGAACGTCGTCTCCGTTCAGAAGTTGCGCAATGTGATCACATGGACGGCAGATGAAGAACGAGAATTTCTGGGTCTTCAAGGACGTGCTCTTATTGATGAGCAGAAGCGTCTTCTACACAATCGAGAGGCCCGCCAGCAAGGATACCATGTGCTTGGCCCGCTCACTGGAGCCAAGCGTGACCAGGACCCGCACCTGCTCTGCGTACAGTGCAAGTTCACTACGGCGGGGATTGGTCGATTCAGCACATGGCCACGACTATTATGCACACCAGGGGTCCTGCCGTCAGGGCCGCATCAGTGTGGGCAAAAACGTACACCAGAGGACTACGACAAACTTATCTTGGAGCACAACATACGCACGGAGAAGCCAGGCAACCGATGCCACGTCCTACTTTCCTTTCGACCAGCACGAGTTGGCCAGGAGCTCGAGTGCATGAAGTGTTCCAAAAAGGCAGCTAAACGGAAGTATTTCGAGTTTTGTGCAGCCATCTGCACTGGACGATAGCTCATCACACATACACAGAGTGATGGCATAATCTTATACTTACTACAGCCTCGTGAATACGACGCAGGGTGTGGACAAATATGAATATTATCTTGGGAAAAGAGTGGGCCGTGGAAGGCTCGACTGCTGCAGAATACGGACCTCGAGGAAGCCCCGAATGCGTGGGAACACCTCAGGCCATGTTGCCATGTTTTGCTGGCAGAACGCAAGTCCTGGGGAAGCCCCGAATGCGTGGGAACACCCCAGGCACACGTTGCCATGTTTTGCTGTTACTGCACCGACATCGTGAATTTGACGGTGATCGGGAACCTGAATGCTACCTCCCTGCTCGGCGACCTGGCGGAGCAGGGTACATATTTTTGGATATATGATGCTACCGCGGACGAGTGCCAAGGTAGATACATGGACCATGTGTGTGGAAGCAGCCGAATTCTCAGCCGGCGAGGCAGAGCTCACGGACACTCTGAGCGCCCTGTCGCGGGCGATCGACCTGATCTCCAAGGAAATGGCCAAGAACCCCGCCGCCTTCGTGCAGATGGATGTCTCGGGCGTGGCTGGTCTGGTCACTGCTCTCAGCACAATTGTGGACGCTGTTTCCCTCGGGGGTGCCGATAAGGATAGGCTCGTTGCGTTTGCGCAGGAGCAGCGGGATGCCGCTGAGTCGGACGAGTCTGGTGCCCCTGACCCAGCAGCGTACAGGTCACACAGCAAGGGGATCCTGGACGTCCTCGAGGATCTGAAGGCAAAGGCCGAGGAGCAGCTCGCCACCCTGCGCAAGGAGGAGTCGAGCACTCAGCACAACTACGCCCTGTTGAAACAGAGCCTGGAAGACGAGGTTGCCTACAACACGAAGGAGCTGAAAGAGGAGAAGGCGTTCAAGTCGGACACGGAGGAGGCGAAAGCGACTGCCACCGCGGATCTTGCAACGACCACGAAGTTGCTCAAGGACACGGAGGCAGCGAGGTCGGCAACGCAGGCCGATTGCATGAAGTTAGCGACAGACCACGACGTCTCCACCGCAGGCCGCACTGCCGAGCTAAACACGATCGCCGCCGCGAAGAAGGCGCTTGTGGAGACAAGCTCTGGCGCTGTGGAGCAGACGTATTCCTTCATCCAGAAGGTAAGCTCGAGCCTGCGCACTGGCGCAGACCTGAAGGGCGCCGAGGTGGCCCGCTTCGTCAAGAGGCTGGCCAAGGACCATCATCCTGAGGCCCTCGCGCAGCTGGCATCGCGCATCACAGCGCTCATGCAGTACGGCAGTGGCGCCGGGGCGGATCCCTTTGTAAAAGTGAAAGGGCTGATCACGGACATGATAGAGAAGCTTCAAGCCGAGGCTGACGCGGCTGCGACCGAGAAGGCCTACTGCGACGAGCAAATTGCCAAGACCGAAGCGAAGAAGTCGGAGCTCGAGGATGACATCGCCAAGCTGACGTCCAAGATCGACACCAAGAGCGCGCACTCGGCCAAGCTCAAGGAGGAGGTGAAAACACTGCAGACGGAGCTGGCCTCGCTTGCCAATGAGCAGGCATAGATGGACCAGATCCGCTCTGACCAGCACGCAGACTACCTCCAGGCCAAAGCCGACCTCGAGCTTGGCCTGGAGGGCGTGGGCAAGGCGCTCTCGATCCTCCGCAAGTACTACCAGGGTGACGGGGCCGCCATGCTCCAAAGCCAGCAGCCAGCGAAACCCGTGTTCCACAGCAAGGCCGCAGGCGCAGGTGGCAGCATCATCGATATCCAGCTGCTTGCGGCAAGTTCCGCCACCGTTCCAGCCCAACATTATCGGTGGCAACTGCTCGAAACAATGATTTTCTGCGGCACGAGAGGAGGAAGAAGATGAGGAGAGGAGGAGGAGCAGGAGGAGCAGGAGGAGGAGGAGGAGGAGGATTGTTGCGGACGAGTGGGATAAATAAGATGCTGTCGTTGGTAACGATTGTGATGACGATAATGATGATGATGATGATGATGATGATGATGATGATGATGATGATGATGATGATGATGATGCTGATGCTGATGCTGATGCTGATGATGATGCTGATGCTGATGCTGATGCTGATGCTGATGCTGATGCTGATGCTGATGCTGATGCTGTTGTCGATGTCGATGCCGATGCCGATGCCGATGCTGATGCTGATGCTGATGCTGATGCTGATGTTGATGCTGGTGCTGGTGCTGGTGCTGGTGATGATGATGATGATGATGCTGATGATGATGATGATGATGGTGGTTGTGGTGGTGATGATGATGATGATGATGCTGCTGATGTTGATGATGATGATGCTGACGACGAGGAGGAGGAGGAGGAGGAGGATGAGGATGATGAGGATGATGATGATGATGGAAATGATGAAGATGATTAAGATGATGAAGATGAGGATGAAGATGAAGAAGAATAAGAAGAAGGTAACGAGGACGAGGATAGTGGCGCTGACGATGGTTATGAGGCGGAGGGGGAAGAAGAGGAAGGAGAAGAGGGGGCGAGCAATCACATGTGACACTTTCCCTCTGCAGTTCTCGAGGAGGCCTCATGGACTTCATTCCAGTTTGAGGCCCTCGTGGGTCCGTCCTGGGCTGTCCAGGGGCCTTCTCAGGCTGCCTTGAAGCCGTCTTGGAGGCCTCTTGGACGACGTTGAGGCCCTCTTGGGCCGTCGTGGGGCCATCGTGGAGGCTTCGTGGACCGGTTTGAGCCGACGGAAGCCCGAAAAGGCGAGAATGCACACACCATTCGAAAACTACAGAAAATGAATGATGTTGGCCTAGTCGGGCCTTGTTGGAGGTTCTCTTAGAGCCCTCTTGGCCGTCTTGGAGGTCTCTCTGACTGTCTCGAGGCCATCTTGAGACCATCTGAGGCCGTCCTGGAGGCATCTTGGACAATCTTGGCGGCCCTGGTGGCCTGCTCGGGCCGTCTTGGAAGCCATCACGGGCAACTGAGACGCCTCGGAGAGCGCCAGGGTGGCGTCTAGCAGCACAGATAGCCTTTGGAGGGGGGTCGATGCATGCAAATGGATGCTAGTAAACGGGGGGAGGCCCCTTAGACGATTACAGAGACCTTAACAGACGGCACTTGGCTTTCTACCACGCCTCAACGTGCCAGTGGACACGGTGGCGGATCCTGGAGGTCGTAGAGTCCGATTTCGCGAAGAACCTTGCCGACGAGGAGGCAACGGAGGCGGATGCGTTGTCCTCGTACGATGCCAGGACGCAGGAGATCAAGGTGTCCATGGCCACGAAGAGCCAGGATGTGAAATACAAAGTGCAAGAGTTCAAGGGCTTGGACAAGGACGTCAACGAGCTGTCCGCTGACCGCACGTCCACCAACGAGGAGCTGTCGTCGGTGCTGGAGTACTTTGCCCAGGTCAACCAGCGCTGCATCGCCAAGCCGGAGACGTACGAGGAGCGCAAGGCCCGCCGCGAGGCCGAGATACAAGGATTGAAGGAAGCCCTTGCGATCCTGAGCGACGAGACCGCTGCGTCGCTCCTGCAGGCGCGCAAGCACCGCTCCCTGCGCCAGGGGGCCCTGACCGCGTGAGGTGGCCTGCCGTGCCCGTGCGGCGGCCGAGCGGCTGCGCAGCCAGTGCCGGGGCGCTCCGGGAAGGGCCCCGCCTCCGAGGGATCGAGAAGCTGACACCTCTGCCCCAGCGGAAGGTGGCGGAAGGGCGGCGGAAGCCAGCGGAGGAAGTACAGTCAGGGATGGAGGTGCTTCACTTTCGAACCAGGGCTCTCGTCGCTCTGGCGCCGCGCACACCCGTCTCACAAGCTCGCAGCAGCTTCACGCACGGAGGGCTGGTGCTTCTCAAAATGGGGCTTTTGCTTGAATCTTCCGTCAAAGTGTAGGGCATGGGACCGGAGCAGGGTATGCAGCAGCTGCGCGAGTGGAGGCCCGTTCTTTTTCAAAGGGGGGTTCTCGCTTGAGACCTCTCTCGAACATCACGACTACACAGTGGAAACCCATGCCAAGAAACACCCTGCTTGCTTCCAGGGTGCCCTGGGTTTCTTGTGTTTCGATGGTTTTGCGATGGAAAGCGTGACGGTGACGTTCCCACACCAAGAATCGATGGACCTCTTGGGGTCTCACAGTTGGGTTTCTTGTGGAAGGTGTCTTGTGGTCGAGCTCCTGTTGTATGCGGCAGGGTTCACCGGCGGAAGCCGGTAGAAGTACAAGATCCAGGACGTCAGGAGTCGGCCAATTCGAGCCAGCCGCTTCCGCCTCACATTCTTCGCCTCCCTCATCCTCCTCCGCCACCCTCCGCCTGCTCCTTGGACACCAGCCAATAATAGAATAGATTGCCACATGCCCACTTCACATCCTGCTCACCATCGTCATAGTCATCGTCCTTCGGCGACACTCCCCTCTCACCTCACCCCTCTGTTCTCGTTTTCACCTTGCGCCTCAACCACCTCCGCCTCAACCACATTCAAACTGAGAGGGGCAAAGTTCGTCAGTGGTGCTCGTATCTCATCTGATCCTCCTACCGCACCCCTGTTGGATCAAGATGTTTCGCTCACACGATTTAGATGCCCCATCCCACACCCGGGTTGCGCACCACATAGCTTACACCACATAGCTCACACCACATACGGGTACGCGAATAAGCTCCACAGAGGTTGCCCGACATAGCCTACACCACATATATTGCATCGCGCATTATGTCACCACTCATGTTGCGTACCACATGGATTGTGCCACATAGCTTACACCACAGAGACAACACAACGTGGACTGCACCACTCAGCCTACGCCATACCACATAGATTGCACCACACTTGCTTAACATAGATTCTCCTTTCTAAAAACAGAATAGGATCTACCCCCCCCCGGGGGAGGTAGATCCTTCGGGGTTCACCTTGCGGGTGTGGGCATAATCATATATGATTATGACCACATGTCCATCCTAAATATGAATTTACACTATCCCCGGGGGGCCGGTATCCCCCCCCCTGAGGTTCCTTTTGTAAAAAATCACTATGCGGTGGCATGTTTTGTTCTAATATAACACTTGTTCACGAATCCCTTGGAAAAAAAATACGAAGTGCACACGCGCGTCGTCGCGCGCGCATGCCGAAATCCTTCAAAAACCTTCGGTGCTGGAAGGATGTCGCAATCGAGTTTCCAAAAAACATACAACAACACAGGGTTTTGCAACATTGAATTGCTAAGAAAGCTTCCGCGCGAGCTCTTGCGAAATCTTAAGAAAACCATTGATTTTTCAAGATTTTCACAACATGCTATAAAACGGGCTTCGCGCGCGCGCAGGTCGAAATCTGTCGAACGCCCTTGCGCGTGTGCCGTCGCGAGAATCCTCTGCAAAAAATGTGACGAAGTGCAGACGCGCGCGTCGTCGCGCGCGCATGCTGAAATCCTTCAAAACCCATAGGTTTCGGAAGGATTTCACAATCGTGTGTCCAAAGAACCTATTATCCCAGTGCGACCCTACCTAGGAGTTGGAGCATTTAGGAAAGCAACATCTACATCTACACCGACAGCTACGTTTACATATACACCTGCATCTATATGTACATGAACATCAACAGCGAGCTCACATCTACATCTACATATACACCTACATCTACATATACCTCTACACCTACATCCACACCTACACCTACATCTACATCTACATCTACATCTACAATGTCGCATGGGTGTTGCTTTTGTTGTGCATTGCTTTTGCTCTTGCCGCTGCGGTTGCCTTTGCCTTTGCTGTTGCTGTTGCTGTTGCTTTTGCTGGTGCTTTGCTATGATATGATATGTTATGATATGCTGCGCTATGATGTGCTGTGCTATGCTATGCTGCGCTGTGCTATGCTAAGCAATGATATGTTATGCTATGGTGCGCTATGTTATGTTATGTTATGCTGAGCTATGCTATGCTATGCTATGATTGGCTATGATATGCTGTTAGAATGCTGCGCTGCGCTATGCTGCGCTAAGCTAAGCTACACGAAGGTAAGCTATGCTAAGCTAAGGTAAGCTATGCTAAGCTAAGCAAGGCTAGGCTAAGCTAAGCCAAGCCAAGCTAAGCCAAGCTAAGCTAAGTTAAGATGAGATAAGCTAAGCTAAGCTAAGCTAGGCTGGGGTACGCTCAGCTATGCTAAGCTTAGCTGAGCTAAGCTAAGGCAAGCCAAGCTAAGCTAAGCTAAGCTAGGGGAACCCAGGGTGTGCAACTGGGGGAACCGCGGGGCGGATCCTTGGGGAACCGCCCAGGGCGGGGAACATTGCCCGGCCCCTTTACGCTAATAAAGTAAGAACCCTTCTAGGCAGAGCCTAGGTAGGGAACAAAAACCCAAGGTTTCGCAACACGGATTTTCAACAAAAGCGTGCGCGCGCGCTCTTGCGTCGTCGTCGTCGTTGTCGTCGTCGCCGTCCTCCCTCCTCCCGCGTCGTCGTCGTCGTCGTCGCCTACGTCGTCCTCTGTCTTTCCTCGTGTTCGTCGTCGTCGTCCTCGTTGGCGTCGTGGTCGTTTCCGTCGTCGTTGTCGCCGCGGTCGTCCTTCCTCCTCCCTCGTCGTCGTCGTCTTCCGTCGTCGGCGTCTCGTCGTCGTCCCTCCTATTTCGTCGCCGTCGTCGTCGTCGTCGTTGTCGTCGTCATCGTCTTCCTTCCTCCCTCGTCGTTGTCGTCGTCGGCGTCGCCATCATTCCTCCTTCTTCGTCGTTCGCGTCGTCGCCGTCCTCCCTCCTCACTCGTCGTTGTCGTTGTTGTCGTCGTTGTCGCCGTCGTCGTCCTCCTTCCTCCCTCGTCGTCGTCTTCGTTGGCGACGTCGTCGTCGTCGTTGTCTTCGTCGTCGTCTTCGGCGTCGTCGCTTCGTCGTCGCCGACGTCGGCGTCGTCGTCGTCGGCGCCGCCGTCGTCGTCGTCGTCGTCGTGGTCGGCGTCGTTGACGTCGTCGTCGTCGGTGTCGTCGTTGTCGTCGTCGTCGTCATCGTCGTCGTGGGTTTTGCAAGCCAAGTTGCGGGTGGGTGGGTGGGATGTTTGCAAGAGCGCGGGATGTGTCAACTCGTTTGTTAAAATCAATTGCACCACATAGTTTGCCCCACCTAATTTCAATGCACCAGTTCCTTATCGTCAATGGTGTTCTTGTCTTATTGTGTTGTCATACCGCACTCGCTTTGGATCAAGCTCTCACGTTCACACTATTTGGGTGCCCCCCCGCCCCTCGCTCGCGGACGCGCGCAAGCAGCAATGAAGTGTTCCGTCCTGGTCGCCATCTTCGCGCTCGCGGGCGTGCGTGGCGCGACCGCTGGCGAGTCAAATCCCCTGGGCAAGGTCATCGAGCTCATGGACTCCCTGGCGGCGAAGCTGGTCGCAGACGGGGATGCCGAGGACAAGGCATTCCACAGGTATGTGGAATGGTGCGACGAGACGACTTCGAATCAGAAGTACGACATCGACACCGCAACCACCAAGAGCAGCGAGCTCGGGGCCACGATCGCGAAGGCGACCAGCGACATCGAGGCGGCCGAGGGCAAGATCGGCGACCTGGCGGGCAAGATCGCGAAGGCAGAGGGAGAGCTGAACGACGCCGCGCTGATCCGCAAGAAGGAAGCAGCCGAATTCTCAGCCGGCGAGGCAGAGCTCACGGACACTCTGAGCGCCTTGTCGCGGGCGATCGACCTGATCTCCAAGGAAATGGCCAAGAACCCCGCCGCCTTCGTGCAGATGGATGTCTCGGGCGTGGCTGGTCTGGTCACTGCTCTCAGCACAATTGTGGACGCTGTTTCCCTCGGGGGTGCCGACAAGGATAGGCTCGTTGCGTTTGCGCAGGAGCAGCGGGATGCCGCTGAGTCGGACGAGTCTGGTGCCCCTGACCCAGCAGCGTACAGGTCACACAGCAAGGGGATCCTGGACGTCCTCGAGGATCTGAAGGCAAAGGCCGAGGAGCAGCTCGCCACCCTGCGCAAGGAGGAGTCGAGCACTCAGCACAACTACGCCCTGTTGAAACAGAGCCTGGAAGACGAGGTTGCCTACAACACGAAGGAGCTGAAAGAGGAGAAGGCGTTCAAGTCTGACACGGAGGAGGCGAAAGCGACTGCCACCGCGGATCTTGCAACGACCACGAAGTTGCTCAAGGACACGGAGGCAGCGAGGTCGGCAACGCAGGCCGATTGCATGAAGTTAGCGACAGACCACGACGTCTCCACCGCAGGCCGCACTGCCGAGCTGAACACGATCGCCGCCGCGAAGAAGGCGCTTGTGGAGACAAGCTCTGGCGCTGTGGAGCAGACGTATTCCTTCATCCAGAAGGTAAGCTCGAGCCTGCGCACTGGCGCAGACCTGAAGGGCGCCGAGGTGGCCCGCTTCGTCAAGAGGCTGGCCAAGGACCATCATTCTGAGGCCCTCGCGCAGCTGGCATCGCGCATCACAGCGCTCATGCAGTACGGCAGTGGCGCCGGGGCGGATCCCTTTGTAAAAGTGAAAGGGCTGATCACGGACATGATAGAAAAGCTTCAAGCCGAGGCTGACGCGGCTGCGACCGAGAAGGCCTACTGCGACGAGCAAATTGCCAAGACCGAAGCGAAGAAGTCGGAGCTC